TGAACATTTTTATAGTTTTAAACTGAAACTGAGAGTCCCTCACGTCTTTTCTCCACAGCCCCTTGCAAAAATATCCTGCTTTTTAACTTCATGAATGAATCTGACTTTGTGAACCTCATGTAAGTGAAATCATACATCTGCCCTTCTTTGTCTTGCTAGTGTCCATGAGCACAATTGTTTATTTATGTGTGTTATAGCATGTATCAAAACTTCATTCCTTTTAAGGCTGGCTAATACTTCACACATTTCCTCATCCACACCTGTTGCATACTTTGTAAACTGTTGACTTCTTCCTCTGTTTTCCTCTTTATTCCTGCCCTTCCTCTGCCTCTCCTTCCCTATCTTACTTGCTTTTTCTCTCTCCTGCCTCCACCTCCTCATTATCTCTGACTACACACACAGTAACCTAATCTTTTGAAGATAATCTTAATGATTATATTCTTAGTGTTGTACACTTGGTGCTTAATTAATCCTTAAAAAGGGTTTTGTTTTGTTTTGTTTTTTAACTCAAAGTCATTTATGTGTCTGTAATGAAAATAGTAGTCAATTTACATTTTCAAGTAAGAGTCCTCTGAACAGTTATCATAAAGGTTCTTTGGTATTGAATTGCTTTGTGCCCTGATTAATAAACTGTTGCTGGGCAGAGACAAGTGGATCTTTGTGAGTTTGAGGCCAGCCTGGTCTCTAGAGCAAGGTCTAGGATAGCTAGGGCTGTTACACAAAAGAATCTTGTCTAGAAAAAATAGAAGGAAGGATAGAGCGAGGAAGGGAGGCAGGAAGGTTGTCTGTACATACCAATTTTCTTTCTAGCTCTCTTCTGTTCCTTTGACTTTACTCTGTATACTTATTAATCACCTTTTATGTTATAGAAGACCATTATTGTGAGTCTTCTAAGTCTCCCTACACTTTAACATTGTTACGAATTTTTACAGTCTTTTTTTTAAAATCATATTTACTGTTTTTTCCCCTCTCCTTTTTTTTTTTTTTTCCATTGGTCATCTACTGCTGGCCCTGAGGCTTACCCTTAAGAGTGATTTGTTTCTTCTGTGAGACTCCATTGGAGAAAACTAATTTTTCTTATTCAAGCAGTTGTCAATTAGAGATAGCTTCTGATTTAGGGATGGAACTTGTGTCCACTTTGCCTATTAGTGCTGAGACCCCCATCAAGCCCATACCCTTATTGGCCCTAGGAATGCTACCACAGTCTCGGTGAGTTCTTATGTGCCTTGGTCTCATTGTGTTTAGAAGGCCTTGTTTCCTTGGTGTTCTCCATCCCCTCTGGCTCTTATGGTCTTTGCACCTCATCTTCCACAAGGCTCTATCAGTCTTGATGGGAGGGATTTGATGTTGATATCCCATTTAGGGTTGAGTGTTTCAAAGTCTCTCATTTTCTGCACATTGTTTGGCTGCAGGTGCATCTATTTCTTCCTGTCTACAACAGGAAGAAGCTGCTCTGATGATGGCTGAGCAGACAGTGATCTATGAGTGTAACAGAATGTCCTTAGAAGGCATTTTATTATTACATTCCTTTAGAAGAAGAATGTTCCATTAGGTCTCTAGCCTGTCTAATTCCAGGTTCTTGGCCACTCAAGCAGTGGAGTGGATTTTAGTTCCACTGTTTTATTGGTTGGTTACTCCCTCAAGTATTGTGCCACTATTGTACTAGCATAACTTGCACACAGGACACCATTTAAAAATGAAAGGATTTGTAGCTGAGTTAGTATTTACCCTTCTTGTTTGGTAGCGTGCCGAGTATGTCCAGTACCATGAACACTAGTAAGGAGAGGTTAAGGCTCTGGTTGGGCACCCTTTCAACTTCCCCTATTGTCTTCAGCAATAGAGCTTTACCAGTAGTTTGTAGAGAGCAATCAATAGCCTTGGAACAGCCTGGGTTGTTTAAATATTTTTGTGGGTTCTGTTTGACCAGAAATTCAATTATATGTAACCCATTCCCAGAACTTGAGGCTTCATTTGGTGATGAGAGATGTCCAGTTGAAGTTACATTTCTCCCATTATTTGGTGATTCCTTTTAGATCACTTCATATGTTTACATATTTCAGAAACCTTCTACTGTTTTGGGTTACCATGCAACCCTTTGAATGGCCTATAAACTGTCCTTCCTATTTCCTCCTTCACCCTTCTTCCCTCCCCCCCTCACCATTTGATCCTCCTGTTCTAGTCCTACCCCCAATCCATTCATGACTGTCTATTCTATTTTTCCTATTTGGGGAGATCCATACCCTTCCCTTCATACTTAAACTCTGTGCATATGTGCATTGTGGATTGTAGCCTGCTTTTTGAGGATTTAACAGCTAATATATACATATAAAGGAGTACATACCATATTTGTCTTTTTGGGTCTAGGTTACCTCACTTGTAATGACTTGTTCTAACTCCAGTTACCTGCAAATTTCATTATTTTTTTTTAACCAACTGAGCAGTATTCCATAATGTAAATGTACTATGCTTCCTTTGTTTATACTTCTGTTGAGGGACATCTATGCCATTTCAGTTTCTGGCTATTACGACTAGAGCAGAAATGAACATGGTTGAATACATGTCTCTATAACAGGATGAAGCGTCCTTTGAGTATATGCCCAAGAGTAGTATAAATGGATCTTGAGATAGATGTATTCCCAGCTTCCTGAGGAACTGAATCTATTACAATTATAGCTGTACAAGCTTGCATTCCTACCAGTAATAGATGAGAGTTCCCCTTACTCCACATCCTCACCAGCATGAACAGTCATTTGTTTTAGCAATCTTGGCCATTCTGGCTACTATATGATGAAATCTCAAAGTTATATTGATTTGCATTTCCCTGATGACTTGAACATTCTTTAAAGGCTTCTCAGCCATTTTTGTGTCCTTTTTGAGAATACATATTCTGTGTAGATCAGTATCCCATTTTTAAATTTGTTTTCATGATGTGCAGTTTTGTTTTTAGTTCTTTTATATATTATCTCTCTGTCAGAAGTGCAGTTGGTAAAAATCTTTTCCAATGTGTAGACTGCTACTCTCTCCAAATGATGGTGTCTAATTCCTGTGATTTTGTGTGTGTGTGTGTGTGTGTGTGTGTGTGTGTGTGTGTGTGTGTGTGTGTGTGTGTCATACAGAAGCTTTCCAGTTTCATGAGGTCCCATTTGTTAATGATTCTTATGCTTCTGCTGTTGTTCTGTTTAGAAAGTCTTCTTCTGTGCTGTGCATACAAAACTATTCCCCACATTCTCTTCTATCAGATTCAGTGTATCTGGCCTTATGTTGAGGTCTTTGATCCATTTGGAGTTAAGTTTTGTGCAAGATGGAAAGTATGGATCTATTTGGATTCCTCTACATGCAGCTATCCTGTTTGACCAGCACTATTTGTTGAAGATGCTATCTTTTTTTTTTTTCTAAAGTATATTTCTGGCTTTTTTTTTTTTTAATCAAAAATCAGGTGTCTATTGGTGTGTGGACTTGTCTGGGTGTTAAATGTGTTTCCATTTATCAATGTGTCTTTTTATTGGCAAACCATGCTGTTTTTATTATGCTAGTTCTGTAGCACAATTTGAGAATTGAGGATGGTGATACCTCCAGCAAGTCTTTTATTATTCAGGATATTTTATATTCAGAATCCAATATATATACATATGTATTATATAGCATATATATATTATAGAGCATATATATGCTGTTGTAAAAGATGTTGTTTCCCTGATTTCATAGTGCATTTGTATTTGTGCATAGATCGGCTTGTGATTGTTGTATAATAATTTTGTTTCCACAACTTTACTAAAAGTGTTTATCAGCTGTAGGAATTTCCTGGTGGACTTTTTAGGGTCATATATATATATATATATATATAAAATCACATCATCTGTGGTTAAAAATCTTTCAACTTCTTCTTTTCCTGTTTGTATTCCCTTGATCTCCTTCAGTTGTCTTATTGTTCTAGCTACAACTTCCAGTAGTATATTGAATAGGTATTGAGAGAGTGGGCAGTCTTGTCTTGTTCCTGATGTTGATGGAAATGCTTTGAATTTCTCTTTATTTAGCATGTTGTTAACCCATTATCAGACAGCTTATGGGTCAAGAGGAAATGACAAGAAACAAATTTCAGAGTTCTCCTCACTAAATAAGAGAGACAGCCTTTGAAGTCCCAGTTGTCAGCTTCGAAAAGCAGTGCCTCTTCATATACTCCTACGTTCAGCTAAGGTTGCCTGTGCCCACAAAGGATGGCTACTCTTGGTCTGTCTCCCACAGTTGGTAAGTTCTTTTGTTCTTGCCCTCAGTAAATGAGCAATGCCTGCCATGCCTAAGATGGAGAAGATATGTATGTGTAAGCTGTTGAGCCAGGATGGGTGCGCTGAGTGAGATGGTAGTTCATGTGGGCATGTGTAGGTTTGGAACAAAGAAGAGCATGCATATAGTTGACATATATAGTGAAGAAGGTAAAGGTGAAAATTAACCTTATGTGATCTATTGTTTTGATAAATCTCAGAAAGGCAACAGCTTTACCTCTTGGCACTTCAGTTTCCTCACTTAGAAAATGAGACTACATAGAGGTTGAATATCCCTAATCTGAAAATCCCTAATCTGAAATTTTGTGATGCCACTTGTAGAAAATTCTATACCTTACCTCAAGTGACAGGCTGCAGTCAAAATAGCTGTGTCCAAAAGTTCCCAAAAGGATCTCCAGCTCTGTATATAACTTTGAAGCATAAATAAATATTATGTTTAAACATGGGTTTCTTCCCTAAAATAAGTCATTATATTTATGCAAAGGTGCTAAACTTAAAAAAAAAAAAAAAAACCCTGAAGTCACATGGACGTAAGCAAGTGGTATGCAGGATAATTGTTGCCAGTGGTTGTATATCATCAACACCCTCTTCTCTGTCCTTGTTTGTAAATAAGCAGAGGGGTGTGGGGGTGGGGTAGGTTGTGTGTGTGAGAGAGAGAGATTTGAGTATGCCTACTGAGAGGGGACAGATGAATCTCAAGGATTTTATTTTCTTGTCTTAGCTATAACATCTCAGGGCTCTGCAGATAGCCAGAAATCAGAATTCCCTCTTCCTTCAAAATACCATTCCTGTCAGCAGAATTTGGGTTTGTTTGCTTGCTGTGCTCCAGAGCCGGATACACCAACTTGTGTTTCTTCTCAGGTACATAAGATCTCAAGGTCCAAGGGTGGGACAGGTACATTTTAGGATACCCTCACCACCACCATTGCATGTGGAAATTCTTTTATATGCTCATCCAGGTCAACAAGGAAGTTGGATGGCTGTAATCATCATTGAGGAAGTTAGAGATGTGATCTCTGTAGCAAGTGCTCCTCTCATGTTTGCATAGTGCTCAGAATCGACTGTGAAACCGAAAGGAACTAAAGCTGCAAGCTCTCAGCCACCCTAGAAGTGGAAAGCGATGTTCTGCTTGTCATTTGTATTTGAAGTAGTGAGACAAGTTAAGATCTCCTCAAAGGGAATAGACACTGTCTGGGAATAGTCTTCCAACACAGATACCAAAACCTTCAGCAGACCATTAACTTGAAATCAGATTTCTCATGCCCATGTTCTACTTCGGTTGTCTTGCTGTGAGCTGGTTTTTCACTGACCTCAAATGTGTATGGTGTTCCAGGAGTCTGTGACATTCCAAGATATTGCTGTGGATTTTACTGAGAAAGAGTGGCCCCTGCTGGATTCTTCCCAGAGAAAACTATACAAAGATGTAATGCTGGAAAATTATAGCATCCTGACTTCACTAGGTAAGGCTATCATCATTCCCTCATCAGTTTAGGGATAAGATACTTTAGTAGTTGGTTTGACCCCAGACATAGATGGGTTTGGAACAAAGCTAAGAACAAGCAGCATCGGTACTCACCCACATAGGTTCTCTGGTAATATGACCTGTCCACTTTGAGCTTGGATGCTTTCAAGTATGTTACTGAGCTTAACCCTAAATTTCTAAGGTAAGGGGTCCCCATTCTTGTTGACAGAGAAGGGTCAGTGAGTAAGGAGATTTACTGTATATTATTATGACCTGAGTTCAAATTCTTAGCAATTACATGCAAAGCTGCATGTCATTGCAGATAACATCTGTAAATTCCAGAGATGTGGGAGGTAGAGACAGTATAATTGCTGGAAATTATTGGACAGCAGCCTAACTTCAAGTTCAGTGAGGAACGATTTCTTCAGGGAATGAAGGAGATTGATAGATTAGAATGCCCAATGACCTCATTTGTCCTCTGAACATGGGCAAGCACACATGCAGAAAAACTAATTTATTAAAATTAACAAAATTTAAAATTATAAAAATTTATTTTTAAAAATCTCCATTCTTTCATCCCATGTGAAGGGATGCTCTCTCAACCTGGACACATAGGGGAGGGCCTAGGCCCGGCCCAGGATGATGTAGTATTTGGGGAGCCCCTGTGGAGGGCCCTACCCTCTATGGGAAGCAGAGGGGGAAGGAGGGTGGGGGTTGGTGGAAGGTTGGGGGGGAGAGGGAGAAGGGATTGACAAGTGAAATTATAATTTTGTAAAAATTAAATAAAAAAATAATAAATGATAAAAATATAATAAAAAGGAAAAAGAACAATTTACATTTTTGTCCAGGGGTATAGCTCAATGGGAGATAATGTAAGGCCTTGGTTTCCATTCCTAACATTGGAAACCAGCAAAAAAAAAAAAAAAAAAAAAAAAAATCCATATTCTTTTGGATGCCAAAATGTATGAGTATGTTTGGGTTTGGTTTTTATGGAAGATTTTTACTGTGTTCCTTAGAAATGTGACACCATCATTTTGCTGCTCCTATGTTAGCTTTGTTCACCTTCAGAAAACCCTGAAGACCAAATTGTTGACCCCAGTCTAATGGATGGGTTATTCTCTGTGTGGTCCTCCTTCAACATGTGTCTTTCCCCATGAGCAGGGTATCAGGTTGGCAAACCCAGCCTCATCTCACACCTGGAGCGAGAAGAGGAGCTGAGAATGGAGGAGAGAGGCATGCAACTGGGTGCTTCTCCTGGTGAGTCAACACCAGACACAAAGATACGATTTTGGCTATCAGCTCTTTTCAGTGATTAGAGTGGACAGTATATGTTGTTTTTTTCCTGTTCAGTTCAGGAACATGGTGCCATCATCCTGGTGCCACCTGTGTCATAACGTGACAGACTGCATTTGTATAGCAGGCACAATCAATTTAAGGGACAAAGAGTTTATTTGGTCACAGTTTCAAGGTGCAGTCCCCTCATGGCAGGAATGACCTGGCAGCAGGAGTTGAAGTGACTGATCACTTCTAGAAGTAGAGAGGAAAGGAGAGGGAGAGAGAGAGAGAGAGAGAGAGAGAGAGAGAGAGAGAGAGAGAGAGAGAGACAGAGAGACAGAGAGACAGAGAGAGAGACAGAGATGCTCAGGTCATTTTGTCCTTTTTATTCAGTCAGTGCCTCCACCCAGCCTGTGGGACACTGCAGCCCACATTTAGGGTGGGTCTTCCCCCTCTTCAGTTAAAGTTTTCTTAGAATCACATACATACATATACCCAGGCTATGTTTCCATGGTCAGACTAAGTCTAGGTAAGTTAATAATGAAGATTATCCATGACAGCATGGTAGCATAACCATTTTGAAAACTAATGTCACAAGGTGAAATAGGAAGCAGGTAGGAGAGATCAATGTTGTTATATAACTGTCCAATGTTTGTGTCTTTCTTTTTTTCCCAAGTCCAAGTTGGCCTTGAACTCTTGATTTTCCTTCCCCAGCCTCCTGAATGCTGGGGTTCATATGCATGGGTTACCATACCTGCCTTTAGGAAACAGCCTTCTCTTACAAGATGTAGCTAACTTTCTAAGACCAACACTGATTCCACTTAAGAACAGTGTGATCAGTGACCTATTTATCTCACAATAGGCCCTATCCTTTAAAGGTTCTGCCACTTTAGTGTCACTATACCAAGGTCAGCTCTCTAAAACATGGACTCTTGAACAAATACATTCAAATCATCAATGTACAAGTACATTCAATAATGTTAACTAGGAAATATGGAAGTGTTCTTTGTCTTAAGACCCATGAACCTTTTGATCTGTAGTTTGACATTTACTATCATTTTATTCATTTGTATGTTCCTCCCTTTCCCCTTGCCTTTCATGTATATCATTAGAATTTATAAAGAAGTCTACTTTTCATTCCCATCTTTTCACTTTGTTTTTGAATGAGTCAGATTTCCCGGTTGTTTCTTTCAGATTGGGGAACTCCATCTAAAGCCAAGTGGTCCATAGTTATGGACGATATTTTGGGGGAGGAAGCATCTAATGGAGTGCAATTGGTAAGATTTCCTTAGGCTGTATCTTTTTGTCTTTCTGGAGAAGGCCAAGGCAGTCACTAGTCAGCTGACTGAAGAACCAGTCAAGTGACCTACTCTAGAGAAAACCTGAGTTCCAATGAGCTGGTTCCAGTGAGCTCCCTGTGGACACCAAGCTCTAAGAGTGCTTAGTTTCTTTGTATAAAATGTCACTTTGCCTTGACTGCGTAGGACTGTACATATCTTGGTATATGTTCTACATTATTGTTAGATTGCCTATAATACTAATACAGTATGGTATGTAAAATATTTAAATAACTTTACTATTGTATTGTTTAGATAATGATGACAACAGTTTTGTGTGTGTTCAGTATTTACATAGTTATTTTTGTCTTTAAATAGTTTGGGACTGGGGTTGCCAAAATCTTGATCTGGAGTCCATTAAGACTGAAATAAGACCCACTGCATTGTCCATTTGAGTAGGATCCCAAATCTAGCCATAGACTTTCTTTTTTAGAGTTTAGATGAGTAAATATTTCTATAATGTGTGATGAAGCTTAATTTGGTTTTAAACAGTTAACAAAGTTTCCATGGAGAAAAGCATTATAGTGTACTACACTATATGAAGCTTTATGGCACAGTAGCCACATTTTCTGCATTTATTTATTTATTTATTTATTTATTTGTTTATCTATTTATTTATTTTTAGCTAAGTCAAGATTTTGTTTTATAACCCAGGCTAGCCTGGTACTCAAAATTCTTCTGTTAGGACAGGAACATGGAGACAGGAACTAATGGCAGAGGTTTACTGGCTTGTTCCCAAAGACTTGCTCAACCTGCTTTCTTATAGAACCCAGGACCACCAACCCAGGGTTTCGGACACTTAAAATGGCCTGGGCTCTCCCCCATTAATCACTAATTAGGAAAATTCCCTATAGGCTTGGCTACAACCCCATCTTATGGAAGCATTTTCTTAATTGAGGTTCCCTCCTCTTAGATGACTTTAGCTTGTATCAAGTTGACATAAAACTATTTAACACAGTCATAGCAATGTGCTTCTATTGTTGCTAATTTATTCAGAGCTAATATATAAAGAGGTTGGGTCTGTAGACTAATGCTAAATCCCATGCTGTGTATTTACCAGGCCTTCAGTTCAACCATCAGCACCAAAAACATAAAATACGGGGTGTTATAAATGCCAAAGTCAGCTCTCATGTCTTAACCAACAGGAAAAATCTCATCTTTTGGAAAAATCTTCTGAATTCACCCATTTATTTGAAGTCTTCAGTATTGGCCCTCACCTTACTCAGCCAGTAGGAAGACCCACAAGCAAGAGGCCCTGTCACCGCCACAGCTGTGGAGTTGCTTTCAAGAACAGGACTCACCTGACTCAGCACCTGAGCATGTATGATGGGAGAAAAATGCATGAATGTCACCAGTGCCAGAAAGCCTTCACTACCAGTGCTTCTCTCACAAGGCATAGTAGGATTCACACTGGGGAGAAGCCTTACGAGTGCAGCAACTGTGGCAAAGCCTTCAACGACCCCTCAGCTCTAAGGAGCCATGCTAGAACTCACCTGAAAGAGAAACCCTTTGACTGCAGTCAGTGTGGTAACGCCTTCCGGACCCTCTCTGCTCTGAAGATCCACATGCGAGTTCACACTGGGGAAAGACCCTACAAATGTGATGAGTGTGGCAAAGCCTATGGCAGGAGCTGCCACCTCATAGCCCATAAACGGACACACACTGGAGAGAGGCCCTATGAGTGCCAGGACTGTGGAAAGGCCTTCCAAAACCCCTCTCACCTTAAGGAGCACATCCGGAACCATACTGGGGAAAAGCCTTACGAGTGTACACAGTGTGGCAAAGCTTTCCGGTGGAAGTCCAACTTCAATTTGCATAAGAAGAACCACATGGTGGAGAAAACCTATGAGTGCAAAGAATGTGGCAAGTCCTTCAGTGACCTCCTGTCAAGGAGGAAACACATGAGGATGCACACTGTGAAGAAACCGGTTGAGTGCTGCCAGTGTGGGAAAACCTTCCGAAACGAGTCTATCCTGAAGACACACATGAACTCTCACACTGGGGAGAAACCTTATGGCTGCGATCTCTGTGGGAAAGCCTTCAGTGCAAGTTCCAACCTCACTGCACACAGAAAGATACACACTCAAGAAAGACGCTATGAATGCACTTCCTGTGGGAAGGTCTTCGGCGATTACCTGTCACGAAGGAGGCACATGAGCGTCCATCTTGTCAAGAAGTGTGTGGAATGTCGGCAGTGCGGAAAAGCCTTCAGGAACCAATCCAGCCTGAAGACACACATGAGAAGCCACACAGGAGAGAAGCCATATGAGTGTGACCATTGTGGAAAAGCCTTCAGCATAGGTTCCAACCTTAATGTACACCGGAGGATCCACACTGGGGAAAAGCCCTATGAATGTCTTGTGTGTGGAAAAGCCTTCAGTGACCATTCGTCCCTTAGGAGTCACGTGAAAACCCACCGGGGAGAGAAACGTTTGGGCCCATCCATGTGGAAAAGGCTTCAGTGAGTACTCAGATGCAAAGGAAACCTGGCAGATTTAAGAAGTCACAAATCTTTCATGAACTCTCCACATATGGAACACAAAAGATCACATGGAACTTGGGGGAAATGCAGTTTGTGCAAAGATTTAGAAGACTTGAGTTGGTATTCACCCCATGGGGGTCTCTGTAAAAAAACAGAATGAAAAAAGTTTTGTGTTGAGTATCAAGAAATGTTGAGCATACTTCATGCTCTTAAACACACAAGAACTTAGGGAGAGAGTCTTCAGCTTGGGCATTTAATAATAAAATTAACAAGAGTTTGCGGACACTCCAGACTAAATCTTTATCAGTTCAGTGATTAGGGAAATATTTTCTCGTATGAGAAATCAGAGTAAAGAGAAAAATCTCAGAGGTGAGAAACAGGGAAAAGTCAATAAAAAGAGGCAAGCAAACTGGCCAGTTATTTATTGTTGTTATCTCACAAGCAAGATGCTTTTGACCTACAACTGTCTGTAAAGATCTTTTTCAGGCAGCGTTGGTTCTCAACCTGGGGCAGTTTTACTCTCCAGGGCATTTGTCAGTGTCTGAAATGATTTTAGGTTTTGAGAATGGGGAGAGAGGTACTGCAGGTATATAGGAAAGTGACATTAGAGAAGCTACCAAGTAACCTACAATACACAGTGTCAGAGAATTATGTGTACTATATAATCATGCTGACTTTGAGAATAATATTATTCATTCCTTTATTATTATGGTCTCTATGAACACTCACATTAGGAGAAATTTTTTGCAGCTTTTTAACAGAAAAAAGAATGCAATTCTGTTTTTCCTGAAAATGTGTGAAACCATACACAGCTGATAAGCCTATGTGAAAATGCTTTTAGCCACAGTCTCCTTGTGTATGAATGTAGGATTTTATTTACAAGTCTTTCTCAATGACAACAGAATCAAGCTCTTTAGTTTCCTTGTCCTTTTTAATTTTTAGGGTCATGGTCCTCTGAATAAGTCTTAGGCCCCACTACAAACGATATGTACATAGTATTTTTTACAATAGCTTTGTTCCTATCTTAATTTCCCTTTGGGAAACTTAACCTGACCATTGATGCATTTAGAATTGTGTGATGCTATGCACTGGATAATGTGGGGTTTTTTGGTAACTATGTCAAATGCATTATGGTCAAAGCATGAAGCTTCCTAATGTAGATCTTTTGGTTGCTTGTGGCTATCTGTCCAAAAGAATAACAAAGATCTCTAGTTGCTTCCCCAGTATCCATTTTATACTCCTATAGCAGAAGAATCATGTTTTTATTTGATTAGTAAATGGTGCTACTTTAGGAAGTCTTTTGCAGTTTTTCATGCAACTAGTATTCTCTACATTCTATGACCCTGGACATTGATTAATAAACAGGGGTTTTTGTGTGGCTTTCTGACAAAAAGCTTTTGGAAAAAAAGTCTGAATTTTTTTTAATTGATTGTGTGACCCTGAAGATGAAGACCACAGTCAGAAGAGGACACTCTAGAGAAGTCACAGTAATCCCATCTATACTGTGACTATTGCAAGTTTACATTGGTGCTTGATTCATTACATCTAGACTTTATATCACCTGAGAAAACAATAAAGTTGATTACAAATTTACAATGGGATTGGATATTTGTTTACTGGTTGGAAGTGAATTTCCTACCCTGTTGGATGCTGTCCAGAAACCATACCCCTTTCTCTGGAAAGTTGATCACTGATACCTTTAATTAAGGTTTTAGTGAGTATTCTTGGAATTATTAGATATAGATTTTTAAATACTTTAAGTCAACTATTCATGTGACATTTCAACATTGTTGTGCTATTCTTTTTATAGTTGTATATAGACGAACTTCAGGTTACAGTCAGAAGTTAAGTCATTCCATTACTGGACCCAGATTCTCTCAACAGTGGGGTGAAGTCCTAGTATTTCCATTATAAATTTAATCTAACTGGACCTCGTAGGTATCAATTTTCATAAAACGCCCAGGAAGTAAGTATTGTCAGCATTTCTATTTCACATGTATGGCATCTGACATGAGAGTTTAGTTTGTCTAAAACCTGCTTATTGACAAGGACTTCTTAGGATTTAAATCCCAGTGCCTCTTTTAGAACAGCATTATTCTTTAATACCTAAGACTGAAAGCAGTGACTCAAATTTCTTACTGTGGTGAGGCTTTCCTTCTAGTTGGTGTCAGAGCATCTGATGCATTTGTTGTTGTATATCAGGTAACAACAGCTAAAAGGAAAATGTTAAGTATGGTGCTTTGAGAAAATATGGAGCTTAAGTAGCACTTGAGATTATTAGACAATCTTTTTATGTATTTTATTTTATTTAAATAACATTTTCTTCATTTATTTTACATACCTACCGCAGTTTCCTCTCCTCCTTGTCCCCTTCTACTCCTCCTCCATCTCCATTCAGAAAGGGGCAGGTCTCCCAATGGCTTGAACAAAGCATGGCACATCCAGTTGAGACAGGACAGAGATCCTCCCCTTGCATCAAGACTGGGGAAGGTAATCCAGCATGGGAAACAGGTTCCCAAAAGGAAATGCTTGAACAGAGATGTAACTATGTACCTTGCAATCTGAAGAACAGATTCCTTGGCATTTCAAAATTATTGAGTACTACTCTTGATACAGTTGCTCAGCAGACAAGGCCTGGTATGAATAGAACAAATTCCCCAGTTCTGCCAAGTCATTTCCATAGTGATATTGTAAAAGACACTATGTATATTTTAAAACAAGTTTTATAAATCACACAGAAAGCATTCAGTTCCAAAGAGTGCAGCTGAGTTAATCATTATACATGAACAACCCATGTAATCACCAGGTCAAGAAATAATTACCAGAATCTTTCTTTTTTACCACCTCCAATAAGAAGTGCCTAGTTTTCCTTAGTTTTCTTTAATGTTTGTATCATAAATGATGTTTCATCTCCCATTGCTTATATGTGCTTTGTGCATATGAGAATTAAATCTATGTCTTAATTGTGTAACATTCACTGCATTCTTTCATGTTTTAATTGAGGTTTTCCATAAAAATTACTGTTGGGATAACCTGTTTGCCAACATTCTTCCCTTGCAGATTTTGTTGTCCAGCTGTGTTGGCTACTACTGCTGGTAGCAGAGACAGTGTGCATCTTCACTTTTTCTAAGTGGGAAATATCTCTAGTGTTTTCCATTAATTGTGGTTGTACTTTTCAGACTGAGACATTTAGCTTCATCCTCTCAAGTACCCCGCACCTCTCATTCATTCTTATTCCACCAGTCATCTGGTAACCCTATTTAAGAACCTTAATAGAAGGTCTCTCAGCTACCCATCGACAGCTAGGTAGGTCTGTGCTGACACCCGACGCCCACTGTGAAGGGAGTGTTCACACTGTTCCATAAAATCTGTTACTTAACTCTTTGACCTTGCTACGTGGAAAAGCAGCAGCAACAATTTCAACACATCCCAAGACTTTTAGTGTGTTTTTAGGATACATGATCACAGGAACAGGGACTAAACTCTGAATTTGGTGGTGTGTTTGTTAGTTGATACTTTTCTCTTTTGGTTGTTTGGAGGTACTCATAGTACCTTCTCAGTAGCCCCGTACTTGCGCTCTATCACTGAGCTAGAAAGCTAGTCCTGTAAATGTTCAAGTTTCTACCTTATGTTTCGTTTACATTTACCTTTTTGAGGGCCCTTGACTTATCACTTGGTTTCAGGCCCTTGTCCACACCATATATTAGGTGTCAGTATTGTTCTTCACCAGAGTTAACACAGAGGTGACACATTCTTTATACATTTATCCTAAGACAGGGTATGAAACTTGAAATACAGTAGTCAAGAAGAATCATGTGCTTACTCAGGGTTATACTTGGGTGGTCTGTATGAAAAGTTCTGCATGTTATACTGCCTTTCTCTTTTGTAGAAAACCTTGAGGGGAATATCAGGTATTTACTGTGCATTTGGTTGTGAATATACTGGGCTGTAGACTCCCCTGAATTCATCCTCTGCTTTCATCTAGTACTGAAATTATAGCTACGTGCCATGGCAACCTGGTATTTCTATGTGTTTGTAGCAGAAAACAAGCATTTCTAATTTAGTACCAAGACTTGGTTTATTTTCTACTCAGAGACTATATTATAACAAGTAATATATTTGCTTTATTTTAAGTCACTGAGAGAATTACTTTTCACATGGCAATCTTGTAAACATACAATATACATCATCTACATATGACTTAAATATAATGGAAAACTTGCATATGTTTTTACAGAGACTATCCAATTTTGAATAGTGAACATGAACTTCTGTAGATTTTCATACTTATAGAGTTTGGGGGAACCAATCCACTACAAATAACTAAGTGTTAGTCATAATATCTGCCCTTTTCAGGCATTCCTAGGCCCTTCCTTTGTAGTAGTATGAAAGGCATGTGTACATGAATCTATACTACGCTTTTGAATTTGTTAATACAAGTAGATGTATGTAGCAATATAATGGTAAATAATCCAAGGAAAGGCAATGTAAGAGTTTACATAGATAGGTCTAGTATGTTAAACTGCTGCTAATGGATAATAGATATTCTTGGCTGCCTGACCTTTTCAGGAAACAATCATACACAGAAATCCTCAGAAGATAACTGCATTGCAGCTTTCTAGTTCTTTAGAATAAAGCAGGTAGGAAGAGGGTTCGTCATGCCTGCTGAATAGTTGCATATGAATTTATTTTGCTATGGCAGAGCAATTCCATTTGTCTTTGTAATATGTCATATGCTTCATTCTAGTGTTGGAGAAATTGAAAAAAGATTGCTTAACCATGTCAAAACTTGACTTACTTTTTTTAAAAGCACTTGTAGCTATAATTTCTTTACCTTTTTCCAGTGCTAGAGATGGAACCCAGGCCTGTGGGCATCCTGGGTAAGTACTGTGCCCTCAAGTGACACCCCAGCCCAGAGCTTCACTCACAAGTGTTTTCACTACTTTTTGTATTGGTCTTGCAGTTCTTAATTTTTGCTCCCCCCACACAAATCTTTCTCTTTAAGCAATGTGGTGTCTTTTAGTTGCATATTGCTGTCTGACCTTTATTTTAGAATAAAGGTCAATTTTGAAATGAATTTAGTTAGCATATAAAATAAATATGTAAACCTACTTTCATAGACAAATTCTAACCTTGAGCTTTTGTAGCAATCTTCACTAACATGATCATTTTCTTGACTAGGTGATGGTAAAAATAGCAAACGGGCTCTTTTTTTGAGTTATCTTTTCTCTATTCCAGATCCCTGCAAGACAGTGATTCACCTTCTACACAGGAGGAGATGGAGAAACCGTCAACTAGCTGAAATTGAGAGAGCAGCAGGTGTTCACAGTTGCTCTAAACATCCCCCAGATAGTGGAGCATTTGGCTAGTGTATGTACAGGTGTTTTAACACAGCTCTGAACCTTGTCTTTTGTTAGGAGTCCCTTATGCCTGCTTCTCCACTCAACAGTCTACCACAGTTCTTGAATACATGTAGTTGTAACACCCTGAATGAAAGTGCTGAATATTTAGTGGGCCTCTATCAAAAGTTTACTTAAGCTCATTAGTGAAAAAATAACAGTCACTTACAGGTTCTTGCCTAATGTTAGAGGGGAAAGATGTATATCCCAGAGGCTTGACCTAAGGGAAGAAAATACTTTCTCAGCTTTGAGAAAAACTATGCCATTTGTTTAATTAGGAGGCCTGGGAGTGGAGTACAACTTCTCCCTTGTGTCCAATTCCTCCCTGTTAGGGCAGACAGAGCTAATGAATTCTCATAGGCACTTAAGTGGCCCAAGGCTCTTGCATCTCATTGCCCTTCCCTGCCAATTCTCAAAACAAAGTACCTTACATGTTCCCTCTGAGAGGAACTTCTAATTAAAGGCCAATTTGGTCTTGCTGTGGTTTTTATTATTATTATTTCTGAGAGTTTTCCAGCATGGCCCATCTGTCTTGTGTAACATTAGTCCAACTAGTCCAAAGTAGAACTTTTTCTGCTCTCTTGAGACTTCAATATGAACATACATTGAATATCAGTTAAATTCTTCACACTTAGCTTTGAGGAATGAAAGGTCAATAAAACATTGCCTTATCCTTAACTGACTGAAGGCTAGAAACAAGGATATAAACAAGTTAATTCTAGGAAGAAGCCAAGAGCCCCAAAGAGGGGGTGTTGAACTTGGGGCAGTCAGACACATGGAGAAGTGATGCAAACATTGTGTGCAGAAGGCTTATTAAAAGTAAAAAGAAACTGCTGGTGAATGCATGTATAAAGCACTTGCCTAGCATGCATGAGGCCGTGAGTTCAGTCACCAGTACTGAGGAAAAAAGCCAACCAAAAACAGAAACATAACTGAATAAGTATGCCTATCCTTCATGCAGGGATATGGGGAGGCTTTAAAGAAATCCTATTAGTGAAGGAAATAGGAAGTGAAGGACTATATGGGAAAGCCGAAGAGAGGTGGGCAGCTTGCACACCATATCAGTGTGCTAGTGCAGACTTGGGTATCTTGGCATTTTGGTGAGGGCTACAGAAAAATAACAGGCTACACTACTGTTGAGATGTCTGCTCCCTCAAGTCAGTTTGTTCACACCCATTAGAGCCTTCCACTCACATGATTGACTCCAGGATGAAACCTACTCAGTTTAATGGAAGTAGTGTAGATGAAGAGAACATTTTTTTTTAAATGGCACCTCTGTCTGACCCTGACTGGAATCAAACTGTAGCTGAGGAGAAGAGGATGTTCTTGAACTTCTGATCCTTCTGCCTCTACCTCAAAAGAGCTAAAGTTACAAGCCCATGTCACTATGCACAATCACACAATGCTGGGAAAAGTTTCACACATGCAGTAAGCAGTCTACCCTAAGCCCTGTGGTATCTATTCTTTTTTTCAGTATACCACAAACCATTTTGTTTACATTGTGAAAATCTAAGTGAGTGAATAGTTTTACTGAGACTTTGGCACATAAGAAATTTTGTATATTTAAAGTGTATAATTTGGTAATCTTCAAGATGTCTATGCCCATAAAACCATCACTACCATCAGGATAATCTCAAAATGTTTTATGATTTGCCTATTACACACACACATACACACACACACACACACACACACACACACACACACACACACACACACACACACACACACACACACACATTGCTCCCTGCTCCCTGGCCAGCCAATCATTTTCTTGAGTACAAGCAGATCATGCTTCTGTGGTGGCTTTTGTTGGGAATATCTCAAATCATGTTTTTCTGTGAGGAATCAAAGACAGACCTCAGCAGACTAATCCCCCCTTTTTTCATGTACCCCATAGATTCGTATGATGCTCCAGTACTGCTCACAGGTAAAATAAGCACACCTGCACAAACACATAATTGGAGTCCAGAATTTGGAGACTGCCACATAGATTATCCTAGAAATGGGTGGAAGAAAACTTGGCTTGTAATTCTAAGCAGGTAGGTAGAATTGTCCAGGAGACCAGGGCCCCTTCTTTTGTACAATTTAAATTCTTTGTAAAGGGATGCAAAAGATCTTTAGTGAATGTTTTTTTATTTATCTTTACTTCTAGAAGAGAATAATTTGACATGACCTAACTACTGGCTGAGTGCATACTTCTGAAACAGAAAACAGACTCAGATACATCTTTGAGAGTTCTTTGTCTCACAATGTCCTCTCTGGCCTTTTGCTTTCTTTCTCTGTCCCTCCTTCCCTTCCCCCCCTTTTTTTTTAATAATTGTATTTTTCTCTCTGTTTTGTACTCCACAGGTACATATATGGCTTCCAATTTTGTATTTTTATGGGATTCCTGGGTGTGCATGAGTGGATCTCTGAATCTGTATGTGTTCTTGTGCCTTTTCATGGGCTCTTTTCATTTGTTTTGTCCTATTCCACTATTTTTATATTATTATATGTCTTTATTATTATTATCCCTTTCAAGCCTGTTTGTTTTCTAATGTAATACCAAAAGTGGGTGGTTTCATGTGGG